CCCCAAAACCCCAAAACCCCAAAACCCCAAAACCCCAAAACCCCAAGGCGGTGGTTGCTGACTGAATGGAAATTAATAAATTAGGTAAGAAACAGGGGGTTAGAAGGACAAGTAAAAGAGTGGGTCTTGAACCCCTGTTTGTGCCTTTGCTTCAGAGGGATTATGAGTTAGATTATCCTCTTCTTCCAAGGAGATTCAGCGTTCTCTGAGATGTCTAGATGAAGGTTAATTTGTTTTAAATTTTATACACAGGGTCATAGCTATAGAAATCAATGGAAATATCTTGGAAATCTTGTGTTTAGGAAAAGAATGCTTACCATCCTCGAGTTTTCTTAGCCAATTGTTTGCAATGACATCATGGTGATAATGAGCTTGAGAATGAGTAACTTTATCGAATAAATTGTCCCTCTAAAAGATAAGATTTAAATTACAAATGTATTTTTCATTAAGGACATTTGAGAGTTTCTGTATGAACTGAAAGAATTCAGAGCACTCTTGTTTTCCTCTGTACAAGTGTTAGGGGAAGTAAATTGGGTATACAGATCTAAGTCTATTTTAATTAACCCAAGTAATAGACTTCTATTCTAAAAATATTTTCAAGCAAGAACAAGACAAACACTTTTTATGATATTTTTCTTTTTAAGACAGATATTTTTATCGAAGCAAATATTTTGTAGTTTGCTATTCATAAAAATTGAATTATTAGGAAATTCATACACATTTATTCTAAATTTATTATATTTTGAATCGATATATCTTCCTTATTCTAACGAAAGGCATATCTCATAATCTGTTTTATTGAAGAATGTTGGATAATTCAAGGATCTCACCCATAAGGTTCATTAAATTTTCCTTATAATTTATTACGGGTAAAAATTTCCCCTTTTATAATTAACTATTCAATAGCCCAACAATTATTCAATCTCAAAAATTTTCTTGGATAAGTTGCCAATGTTTTGGAGTTACAATAAAATGGTCAAAAGATATTCCCCTTTTTACTTTGAGAATTTATCAGATTTCTTATTTAATCAAACCTAGAGATGCTACTAGACCTCATTAAAATAAACAAAGGCTTTATGAGTCTAAAACACATGCCTAGTACTTCATCAAAACGAATGCAACTATAATGCTATGATCCTCTTTATTGACTTTGTCAAGGAGAAAGCCTAACATTGGCTCTTGGGATTTTAGAATCAACCAGTATTCTTTGAGTTAACTTCTCAGATATAATACACTACTGTGCGGATACTAATCTGATCATTCCCATTTGCTCCTTCGATAATTTGGGTAGTTGATTGATTAAAAATACTCAAGGAGAGCATGCAAGAGGTCCAATACCTTGTTCGTCATTTCTAAAGTATAAATCAAGTCCTTACTCAAAATGAGGTAGATGCTCACGAGCATTCTTTTTCACTTTCTTGCAAAATCTTTTCTTAAGCTTCCTTCTCTTCTTGATTAATTTTGACTTTTTTAATTTTCCTAGCAAAATAAATTATGCTTTTGCTTTTGGAATCATTAAGAGAGAAAATAAGAATAGTTTTGATTAAGATAAAGAGAAATTTCATGTAAAACATTATTTTGACATAGTAATGCTAAATTATTAGTAAATATTTTAAGAATTGGGGATTGCTTACTTTTTCGTAAACCAGTAGATTCTGCATTTTCCCCTTGCTTCTTCATTTCAGATGTCTATAGCATAATAATATTTTACTACTTTGAGTTTTGGTTTAGCCTCTTTTCTTTCTCTGGTTTTGGACTATAAAGTCAATTAAAAATTTACTCCTTTTCACACAATATTGGAGAGGAAAAACACGAGCTATATGAATTAAACATTGGGTTTTACAGTGCGGACAAATTTATTCTTGTCCTCATATAGCTTCATTAATATTAGAAGCCATTCTGCAACAAACTTAGTATTGATGACAACTATAGAGATAAACACAATTTTATTGAGAGCATTATGTTGTTCTAATCTAGTATAGACAAAGGCTCCCAGTATCAGAGTAACACATCCCATTATAGATAAGAACTCTATTTTGTTGTTCTCAAAACTCTTGTAAGGCTTCACCTTGATTTGAAGTCGAGCTGTTAATAGAAGTATTATCAAAGACAAATTGATTGCTACTTTGAGCTCGAAGAGGAGAACCAGTAAGAGTGCAATTTTCCTGAGGGTATTAACAAACTCCCAATATAGAACTTGAGGCCTGAATCCTTGATAGATCATCAGGAAGTATTGCATGATTTTACTGTTCAGCTTTCCCCTTTTGTTGAAGATAGCAATGTATCCTATCAAGGGTCAAGCAATGACCCAGACTATTATTATTGGTGCTCCGACTATTAGTCACCATTTCAAATGAGTTGTTGAGAATCATTCAATGTTAGTATCTATTCTTGCCACACTGTATCCTTCATCAATTTCAATACATTTGAACATGCTTATACTTTTCTCAGTTAGTTTTGGGTGCAAGATAAAGACGATAGTAATGAAAGAGATAGCAAGAGCTCTTTTCATGTCTGTGCACCAAGCTGGCCTGATTCATTTAATTATGATCCACATTACAGCAATAGTAATGAACAAGGCTATTGGCAAAAAGAACATCAGGAACAGTTTAAAGATTGCATTAGAGTCAAAAATAAATTTCATTTCTGCATCCTTTATAAAGCAATCAAATGAGATTAATGAATCTGTAGATGATCCAAATAATCTCATTGGAATAGTTAACGAAAGAAATCCAGCTGGATAGTCATTAGTAATTGACATTGATACAGTTATAAGCTGGATATAATTAGTAAGAATTCTTAGAAGGATTGACAGTTCGCTCTCATCAGTTTTCCTCACATTAATGATGACCATAAATATGAAAAATAGTAAGACAATAAGAATTGTGAATACAACTTTGATAGCATTCAGTATTAGATTTGGGCATTTCTGTCATTCGTAGTCATTAACTCTCTCATATTTTACATCTCCAGTTACAACTCATTGGGAACAGAGATTTCCGTGATATCCTTGTGCACATTTTACTGGATTGCTACTCTTGGAACTATTGGATAACATTATTTTGAGAATAAATTTTACATAATGAAGACTAAGAATAGCATTCATTAAAACACTTGATTCTTTTCGTAGACTATTGTAGTTACAAAGCTATGAAGATCCTGCAAATGCTAGTTATGGCAAACAACACCAATGACAGAAACCAGGATATCTGGTGTAGCTACTTTTAGAACTGCTAAAAGTGTTCAATCAGAATAAACTGGCCTAATATAAATCTAGAAGTAGCAGCGATAGGTCTTTTTACCCAAGTAAGTGATATTATTTAGTACTACTTGTGTACAACAATAACATATCTAGTAGAGGTTAAAGTATATTAGCAATGCAAAATTTATTATCTAATCTGAAAGGAACCAGAAATCCAATACAGAATAAAGGTAAGATAATAAAACAGCTAGTTTATTTAAAAAGTTGATTACATTGACATTGAGGCTTTTATCTTAAACAACTAGACTAATAGCTATTGATTATATCACAATTCCAAATAGAGACATCTAACTTGATCATAGTCGAAACTTGCTGTAAATTCAAAAATTGTATTTTCTACTATTCCTTAAATAGAAAATGTAGAATGATAATTTTGATAATTAATTCGATTGCCTTACTTTGAAATTTGATTATCAAAGTTTTCATCTACAAATCCTCCAAGACAAGCATCTTTATAGATTCATTCAACAATCTTGCTTGAATTTTGGAACCTCCTCCAATACCCAGATTTCACTGATATTTGAGCGCCTCCTAATCAATCAGCATCTAGGTCTCAGTTTGTTCATTCAGTCGCATTCCAATTGAGCGAGTATGTGCCAGCAGCTCATACGTTTCATTGATCTCCAACCATTATTTCCCCTGGCTTTCAATCTCTGAAATTGATTTGGAGGTCATCCTGATGGAGCAAAGTTCCTATGACCTCTTCAACTTTGGTAGTTTTTATTGATTTTGAACTAAGAGTAAAATTTGTACTCAGAATCCTCCCTCTTGTAATAGCTGCAATGTTGTCAAACTGGGCTATCCCCTTTTCTGTTGAAACTATATTGAATCCTTTTATACTAGCTTCAGATGTATTCCTTGGTAGGATGATGATCTGGCTTGAATTATCCAGGTTCATTATTTGGTTGTCCATATCAAAAAGTGCAAGAGTTAAAATCTGATCAATTTTGATTCCTGATCCGATGTTGTTCACAATAATATCTTCACCAAGAGAACTATTTGCAAGTCCTATCTTTGCAGGATAACTAGCAAAGTTCGGTCCATAGTCTGCTTCATTGTTAACAAATTCGGTATTTTTAATTCTTGGATAGTTGTAGTTATAGTAGATTGCCCCTCCTCTCTCTTGAGCACTATTATTTCAGAATCTGGAGTTCTCAATATTTAATTCTCAGTTAGCCAAACTTGTGCACTCGAAAGCTATGGCACCTCCAAAGTATGCAGAGTTGTTTATGAAAGTTGTGTTTTCAATATTTATTTTGCTATTAAAGATCTGAATGGCTCCGCCTCTACTTATTCCAGTATCTTCATTATTATCAGAGAATTTGCAGTTTTTCATCTTGAGGAGGTTAGACTCTTTGAATTCAAGAGTCTGCTTTCCACCACTGATATCTAAATTTTGTATCAAAGTAGCATTGGAGAATGAAAACTGAGCCAGCTTATATTTATATCCAAAGAGTTTAATATTCCTCAACTTCACATTAAGAGTCTCTTTGAGATTGAGTAAAGGATCTGATACCGAATAAGAATTTATTAACAACAGAGTATCTAGCTCAAATTTTTGGCATTTAAAGCATTTAATAAGGCCTTCATCATTCACTACATTTGTCAATTGGGTATTGGTCATTGTTCCACTTGAGAATGATAATTGAGAAACTTTGAAATTAGCGTTGAATAGCTTTAAACTTGAGGATATCAAATTCCCAGATGTTATTTGAATAAATGCAATTTCGTCTTCAGTTTGCAACTTTGATCAATTGGCTATGGTTAGATTGCTTAGAGTTGTCTCTGTTGAAATCAGATTCATTGGAGATTTTACAAAGTTTATATCAAATATCAAAGAGTTCTCTACCAACAAAACAGAAGAAAGACTGTATACAACGGAAGTGGCATTGTATATTTGTGTATTACTCACAATATGGACCTCAGCTAAAAGTACTTGCATCAGAGTGTCTTTCTGAGTAATAGTCGTAAAATTTAAGTTTGTAACATAACTTTTTATCAAATCATTCAAAAATCAGAGTCTGGCACAACTAGAAGTAAGTTCTACAGTTAAATTGCTTTCAAACATTACATTATTGGAATAAATTCGAGTTTCGCTGATTATTGAGGGAGTAAAAGCAGATAAGAATGTACCAACTGCATAATGTATTGCATAGTTTTCAAAAATTTCACTATTAAATATTTTCAACACTGATCCTGATTCGATTTCAAAGACTCCATTTGTGACTCCGAAGTTGTTAGAGATTTTGCAATTTTCTCAAATAATACTTGCTTCAGTTTCCGCTCTGAAAATTGGTGATACAATAGCTGAGTTATTTTTGAACAGTGTATTCTTAATTGTAACCACAGACCTGTCAGATGCTCCGAGTATTCCTGCAATAACACTCATTGACGTAAAGCCAGTGAATGAACTATTCTCAATCTCAATAATCATATTCTGTCTTGTTGAGATAAATGGATTCATGAGAAGTGTTATGTTTGAGAATGCAGAGTTTACAAATATGACTTTCATGTTAAGGGCGCTTGATATTTTCCTACCTACAGCTTCAATAACCCCAGAATTGACTCCAGAAACCAAGCATTCTTCAAACTTTACAACAGTAGGAAGTTGGTGTTCCAGCTCTATTAAAGATCCAGCGATAGCAAACTCTATATTGATAAATTTGAGTTTTCGAAACTGGATATGCAAGTTAAAATCTCCTGTAAATCTATCAGTCGAAACCAATGGCCTTACAGACGGGATGTTGCATTCAGAATATGTTATATTATTGAATGAGATATATCTCTCTGAGCTTGATAAAGCTGTAAAGCTTCCGATCCCAAACAATGACAGAGAAGAACTCAAGACTGTGATGTCTAAAAATTCAGCAGTATGCATTTCTTCATAGTTTAGAGAACCAATTCTTATAATCTTCTCTGTTTGTCCAACAGAACTCATGGGGTTAACATTCTCAAGTGTAATATTAGAAACTGTAATTGAATTTATGTAATCGAAGCTTAGCAAAGATTTATCATCTGGTGTTTTACAATTCTTAAACATGAAATTGTTTACTGTCATCATGACTGGTGGAGAATTTAAATGGAGTAACGATGCAGAAACTATTTCAATATCTTCGAAGCTGAAATTTCTCATAGTCATTGAAGTTGTACTAGGAAATTGAGTAGAAAATATCGGAGGATTAGAAACCCCATGACTGCTATAGTTTCTTAAAATAATATCTTCGAGCTCAATGTTTCCAGTCGCAGTAATTTTGAGTATCTCACCTTGATGGTTCAGACTATTTTCAAAAGTGAGATTCTTAATTTTTAAATCCTTAATAGCGAAAAAGTCTGCAAAAAATAAACTGCATGAAACGTTGTATATTTTTACGTTAATCATTTCAGCTATTTCAGATCCGGAAGTGTATAAATAGAACACTCCATAATCCCAATTTTGAATAATATTGATAAAATCAAAATTTGTCATATTTATATGAATAGGCCGATAAGGAGCTGCATTAGTGAGAACTGGCAAAATCATCAAATTTCCAACTCCAGCGTCTTGTGGTCGCCCATCCGTATGTATGGAGTCATAGTCAATAGTTTGGAGTACTCCGTCATCAGGAATTCAAGTTGGCCTAAAGCTAACAACAATACAAATATCTAGTTGGAGATTAACAGGGACTCCTCCACAATCAATATCAATCATGGTGTGGTTTCCAGGGAGAGCAGAATTTAATAAGCTGAAATCATAAACTGGCTTTTTGAGAGAAATCAGAGGAGTCACATTTTTCACATAGACAATATTATGTGTAAACGCTTCTGGATAGTTTCAGAACACATTTAACGGATAAAAGAAAATCCCTTGCCTTGAGATATCCACAGTGATGTTCTCAAGATATACATTCATTGGGTCTTGGCTGGTAAGGGAAGAGCCCGTTACATTGAAATCCATTTCATCTATAGAAGAATTTTCAGACAAGAAGTTATGAAACCTTTTAAAGTTATGAAACTCAATATTTTCTTCACATGGTAAGGAAATAAAACTGAATTTGCAGAAGAGGAAATATTGCTATTTAACAGAATTTTCATATTGAAATAATGAAGTTCTCATGATAAATTTTCGTTGAAAAATTTACACAAAATACAACAAATATTGAACATATAAGACTTCATATTTGCAATTTTAGAACTTATTATCTTCTTGAAAGATCATAAAACTAGACTACAAGGTAAGTTTTCATACTTTTTATTAGTTTTGAAATCCTCTAGAGAGACCCAAACTCCCAAAATAGCACATATGTTGGCTAAAACATTGAATATTAGCTTATTTTGGATTCATGCTGATAAATATGTGTTACATACTTCAAGGAAAGCGCTTAAAGAGGAGGTTGGGTTAGTAAATTTATATAATTCAGATCTGGAAATTGAATTTCTAATGATTAACAGCTCTAAGGTTGTTTCAATTTAGAAATAATTTTATGAGGGAAAGATAGTGTATCAAATAGATTTTAAGAGACCTTTATTGGCTAGTGGCGATATGTATGCCTGTCTTTAATAGAGTGCTATGTCTTTGGAACGAGTTTTAAGAGTATTTATCTTACTCATATATGGCGGTTAGGATGCGAAGATATTAGAACTTGAAGACTAATTTTTTAATGGTTAGGATAACTAAGTATTTTAACTATAAGAATTCTTTCGTTTAGAGAATAATCTATCTTCCATGTATTTATTATTCTTAAGAGACTTACATAGTTTGATGTCTTTGTCTTGGAGATTAATTATGACTGAGAAATATTTTAACTCGTTGCTATGGAATTCGATCTCAGAGATCTCCAAGCTAGTTCTGACAACAAAGATTCCAACTTTGTCTTTTAAGAGTTCAGATGCCTCTCTTTCTCCGATTTCATCATTCATTATAACTTCGTGGTAGTTTATGGTAGTATCCTTTAAAAGATGGAAACGCGCTCTCTTGGATATTCCATGCTGAGGTTGACTAGTGAACGAAATTTGTGCTCTTCTTCTCAATGCCTTGAATTCTGGATGAGCTGTAATTTTTACATTCGTCATATTGATAAAATAGAAATCATCCATCTCAATAAAGCCATCTTTCACAAATATTGTAACTTCAGCTTGGGTGTTACTATAGTGGTTTAATATTTCAGCTGCAGCTGATTTGAAAGCTCGATATGGGTATTCAAGAGTGCCTAGCTCAATAGGCTCCTGACTTTCAGGGTCAACATAGATACTTAGCATCTTTCATACTTTGTTGGTATTCATTCGATTAGATGCCATCATTAGCTTATCTGAGTCTCATGAATCGACACATTCCAAAGTTTCAATATCAAAAATTTTATCAGAAGAGCATTCAAAGCAAGATGCTTGAAATCTTCACTGATGAGTTCAGACCCCAATTCAGGATAAGCAGCTATCTCTGATTGGGTCATAATATTCGTCTTCATCACATGATTCTCATAATCCGGTTTCTCCGTTTAACCGCATAAAATCTTCTCAAGTTTCTCAAGTTGTAAAATCCAATCAGGTTTTGCAGGAACCATCTCAAGGGACTCAGTCTCCTCTTTCTTCGAAATATCCATTTCCTCATTCACTTGGATAAAAAGCTAGTGTTTGACTCCAAAGCGCCATAAAAATAACCACCTGCATTATTTTGCTGCTAAATAATTTCATAAACCGAATGCCTTTAACCTCTGAATGGTTAAATTCTGCTCTGAATTCTTCAGAATTTCTCAAGCATCTGACTTCTGGTTGGTTTAAAATCGGAGTTACTCCTAAATTATTAAGATTACTCTGGTGTAGCGTCTCTGTAATATCTCCATTTTGCTTAGACGTTGTTATAAGTTTAAACATAATTTATTTATTATGAATAATCAATAAAAGGTTTCTAGAAAGGGGTTTTGGGGTTTTGGGGTTTTGGGG